ATTTTAAAATTATAATTTAATTTCTTCTCAATTAAAACGCCCTGGCTACCAGCCTCCCACTCTTCCTCACCGATCCTTTTATCTGTTATGGAGAAAAAGTCCATGCGAAGTGACAGTGAAAATGAGAGGAAAATACAAAAGATCAAAGCAAATTAGCACAAGAAACTAATCTAAGCACGGAGAGAGTGTCAGTATCATTGCAGAAGAAATCGAACCTATATTCTTTTAACAGAACAATCTGCCTCTAAAAATGGATTTTGATTACCTGGACAAAAATGCGATTTGGCTGAGAAACAGTCTTGAGCAAATAATCGGTGGCCCAGCGAATGGCGACCAGGGCGTTTCTGAGCTCACTGGGAGGCATGTTATCCCCAAATTCGATCACGCTCCACGCCAGCATTGTGGTGGTGAAGGCCATTGGAAAGCCGAACTTGATGTTGTCTCCGGCGTCATAGTAGCCGCCGGTAAGGTCCGTGTTGTAGGTCCAGCCGTCACTCAGACCCGAATTGCCCCGCCAGCTCGTCCTCTGGTCCTGAGGCAGCACCCCAGAGCGCTGGCCCTCGAAGAACAGTATGGCCTTCGATAATGCATCTTGGTAGTCGTGTGCGACTCTCAAATCGAAGAAACCGGCGGTGAACAGGAGAAAAAGATGAAGAAGATGAGGGTTACTACGGAGACTTGAGAGGCTCATTCTGGATTTGGGGAGTGATCCTGATGATTCTTCAGTGGCTTAACTGCTACTTATAGAGTTGAGTTAGAAGGGATTCACGGGCTTAGAATTGAAAGCGAGAGAGAGGGGAGCGAGGGCGAGTGAGGTGTGAGATGTGATTTTGGAGGGAATGAACCAGAAAAAAAGGGGCAAAAAAGTGAAAATTCAAAGCAGTTTATTCTTTTTACTTTCGACCAAGAGGAAAGGCCAAATAGATCCTTCGATTTATACTGTGCCATTTTTTTTTCCTTTTCGTTCCCTCGCTACGACTCTGCGCATTTAAAGCAGAAAGGAGGAAGCATGATTCATACTTTAGTTATTCTTATTTTAGATCATTTGGGGAAAAAAACATAAATTTGATGCAGCAAACGAGAGGAAAATTAATCTTTTAGTCCTTATAATTTTCATTCATTTGTAACTCAGTCTTTATACTTTAACTCGGTGCAACTCAGCCCCTATGGTTTTGACTCAGTTGTAACTCAGTCCCTGAAGTTTGACTTGCTCCAACTCGGTCTTTATAATTTTAACCATTTTATAATTTAGTCCCTCCTTTTATTAGATATATAATTTCATTTTTCAAAAACATAAGGTTTAAATTATAAAATAGTTAAAACTATAAGGGTTTGTGTAACATGTGTTTTAATTATAAAGGAGGTTTATACGTTTTCAAAATTAAAGGGGTTTCTATAATTGAGATAAAATAAGGATAACCAGTGTATTTTACTCTAATAAATATAAAATCCTTTACATGAGTTCCTCTTTTTTTTTTGGGAAATTGTGTACGTTTATCAAGAGTCCTTTTACATGATCCAACAAAAATGTAGAATTTTGCAAAGTCAAACGAAATTCTGGGGATAAACCAACACAATTAATGGGAGGGGATGCATGGAAAAGATCCAAATCATGCCAACCAAAAAAAAAAAAAAGCTACTCCAAGGGAGAATATAACACGCTTTTGAGTCATGATATATAATGTCATAATCCTCCTAACTTATGTTATTAATTAATTTTTCTTTTTATACCTTTGATCAACATCCATTTTGTCGCAAGGAGGTGGTGAAGGTTGTCGATAGGACCCACTACATTGATGGACATCATCATCTAATATAATAATTGCGCCATTTTTAGCAATGATAATCATTTTCTAACTTCTAAAAAAAATAATCAGATGGTCCATGCATGCTAGACAGAACAATTTCAACCTTTTGCATCTACAAAACTAAAAATTATTCTGCATAAGAAACTAAAAAGAATATCGTAATGGGAAAAAAAAAAGAAGATTAGAATAAAGAAGAGGTTTTAGTGATGTGTGGTATACTCTACTTCCTCCGCTCTATAACATAAGCTACTTCGACCAATTCATCGGGACTAATAACTTTTTGAATTTATCTCAAATGAAATTTTTTTCCAATTTTATTTATACCAAACGAGCTTGTAAAGCATAAAGAAGAATACAAAAGGTCGTATTTAAATATTAATTGTGCATGCAAAATTAACAAAACTATTAATTATTTTTTTAAGTGGCTTATATTATGATTGCAGAAATTTTTGTAAAAGTGATTTATATTATAATTTCGGTGCAGTAAATTGTGCATGAATAATTTTAGAAAGAATTACAATGAAGTCCCAAATAAAAAAAAAATAAAAAACAAGTCGCAGAAATTATTATCTCTATTTTAGGATTTGTCATTATAAGTTGTTGAGATTATTATTAGAACTTTTTAGTAATTATTTTTTTTATTTGAGATTTGATTGTAATTCTCTCGTAATTTTATCTGAACGAAGGCATGTGTAGCGGTGGCAATTTAAGAAGAGAGAGAGAGAGAAAGTGGTAAATGCGCCGACAGGTGAAGTTGGGGGGTGTCAGGGGGGTCACATGCGGAATGCAAACGCATAGCGTGAAGAAGAGGTGGCGGGAGGAAGGGAACATTACCTGTGGGACCCTTTCCAGGGTCTTTATAACATTTAATTAATCAATTATTATCAATTAGTGTTATTAATATTAATAGTAGCAGCATATATGCTTAAAACCGGAATCTTATGGGGCATAATGCTTTTTAAAACCATTACAGGTTCATCCATCAACAAACAACGTGGAATCTATTGCATGATCCAAACCTCAGACAATGAAATAATTACTCTTTCGTCACTATTATAAACAATTTTAAATTCTATCACGTAGATTAAAAGTAAGTTAAAAATAATAAATCGATAGAAATTAAAAGTTTTTTTTTAAAATATCCTTATTTGTAAAAGAGAGAGTATAAAAAAGAGAATAAAAAATTATTATAATAAAAAATTATAAAATAGAGAGAATGGGGATAAAAAGATGATGATTTGAAAAATAAATTAATAAATATATTAGGTATTAAAATAAGTAATTAACGAGGATAAAATAAAAAATCTGTTACAAAAATTTAAGACAACTTATAATATTATTTTTATTTAGTGATAAGAAGGAAATTGTAATTGTTATTTATAAATAGGGACGGAACGAGTGTTATCGTTAGGTTATATAGTACTACGGCTGTTCCCTCCCGTTTTTTTCAACCCCTTAATTGTTCTTTAGGTGGATCCGCACGCGCGGTTAGTAAACTGGTGCACGAGGAAGGATAAGCATCTTGGGGGGATGATAAAAAAATAAATAAATCTTTTTTGGTCAAACTTAAAAATAACAAATGTTAATGATTAATATGCATATACATAATTTAGATTAAAAAAATTAGTTAAATTAATTATTTATAATAAATAGATATTATTTTTTTAAATATTTTTACTAATCAAATATATTGATTAGAACTATCATTATTATAAAGATTATCTTAGAAAAAAATAAATATAAGAAACTAAATAGACTAAAATTTTATATTTAGAACTAAAATAAAAGTACAAAAAACTTTTATATTAAACATGAGAGGTAATATTTTGTGATTATCCAAACTTCAATTTTATCTTGAGCTTTCATTCAGAATGTATTTTTTTTCTGAGATTTGAAAATTTTGAAAAGGTGCATTCCTCCAAATAATGTAAATTCTATAAGGGCTTGTATGGGTGGGCTTAAAAAATCCCCCTAAACACATTTTACGTAAATTGAGATAAAACTCTTCTCACATATTTGTTTTGTATTTCGTAAATCACTATTAAAAAGTTACTTATAAGCTGTTTCAAATGGGTTCTAAGACAACCGAAGAGAGTAAATATTGCGTTCTTGAAGAGAAAACCAACGAGTGTAATTAATTACAAATTGTTTTACTTTGGAATTGGTGAGGATCAGTGGACAAAACAGCATATAGTATTAAATTATGTTCAAACACATTTCTCTTTATGCAGCTTTCACCATTTTTCTTTTCTTTTTTTAGGCTTTTTCTAATGAAGAAGTGGCCAAGTGAGTTTCAGGTAAAAATGAAAAATACTCCAAAAAGAAATACTCCATCCGGTTCAAAATATAAGATAAACTTTATTGGAGGAGTTTGATTTTTTTATAAAATAATATTCACTTTTGTCTCAGTATTTAATGAGTTTTTTTTTTTTAATTTTGCCCCTAACATATATTTTCTTTCTTCTTTAATTCATTTATTACATCTTTTATTTATTCTCTTCATTAATAAGAGCATATTTAAAAATAAGAAAGTACATGCCTTACATATTTTATATTTTAAACTGATTTTCACTAATTTCTTAATAAACATAAATAAATAAAATTTTATTTTATATTTTGAGTTAATTAAAACGACAGTGACCTTTTAAAATGAACATTCCCTGAATGATATGATGAACCACGGTAGTTTAGTGTTAAGGGTTGGCAGACTGGGGTAAGTCATTGGCGGCCTCATGTCCCAGCGTGACTTCCAAGCATCAAATCCCATGTCATCTTACACACACATTTTTCTCAATTCCTATTTACAAGCCACTTATAAATAATTAACGAGTTTTTTTTTAAAATTTTACTCCTATAAACTTAAAAAGGTAAGAAAAAAATATAAAACATTCTTTTTTTTGGCAGAAAAAATATAAAACATATTTAGTACCATTGTAATCTAGAATATGCAAGAAACCACACATTCACACTATTTTTTGTTTTTAATATAAAAAATTAGCTAACTAATTAAAAAAAATTTGCTGCATTAATTATTTATAATAATTAGCTATTGTTTTTATTAAAATATCCTCAATAATCATATATGAGCTAAAAATATGAATCGGTTGAAGTTTTAACATATGTACCAACTACAAAAATTATTTTAAAAAAATCATAAATAAAATAAATTTGAATCTTATATTTAATACCAAATTAAAAATCATACTAACTTCTATATTAATAAAAAAAACGTCGCAATTCATAAAACACTGATACATGGAATCGCTTGCACTATTGGAGTTTGAAACCCCTCTTAATTACCGACAACCATCGAAATTATTTGGCGTTATCCTTGGACATTATAACGTCAGGCGTTTGCTATTTCATCGCCAACCCTTCTCGTTGGCCCAAAATTTGACTGCTAACTGAAATAAATCTCTTATTACAGCTCATAATTACAAGGGTCGCTTGTATTGCTTTAAGCCTAACATATCAATACGTCGATTTTGATGAGAGAAATTGTAAACATCCAAAATTGAAATTCATTTGGCATCAAAGTCAAAACAATCAGCATCACTTTGGTCCTCTGCGATAAGGAGATAGAATGTCATCTACTGTATCCTTCACGTAGCTGCCCACCCTGTACAAGTTTCTCACAACGCCTGATGCAACCAAGTCTGCATTTCTTAGAAACCTGCACAGTAAAAATCTCCCTTTGTTGGTACTCTCGTAATAATCCCTTAAACTTTTTGTTTCAACCTAAACTAATGAAAACTTCTTCGCGGCCCCCAATTAGTTTATTTTAATTGAGATAATGAATTCTTTTTAATGCTTGTGTTTAGTGAGAAACCTGACCAGCGCATATTTGTATATGCTAATATATTGTGCACTTGCCTGTTAAAATATTCCTCTTTAGTGGGGCTTGGAGGTTTATATCTCCTTGGTTGTAGTTGTGGTTGTGGTTGAGGTTGAGCATTTCCATGTTCTGCACAAGACAGGAAAAGAACCATGAAATGATAAAGCGTTATACAATATGAATGTAAGAAAGTAAGGACAAATGGAAAGAAGAAACAGGAAGTATGAAAATGCAATCACTTGAATCGCCAATAGGACAAGAGCTTCATTGCTCCGAAAACAGCAATGATAATTATAGTAAATACATATATTATGGAAGATATAATGATGATGCTTAATTGCACATACTCTTGTTTACCCAGCAATACATTCACAATGCTATCACTAGTTCAGTTGCATGACTGGTAATATCAGTAGAAGACTATAATACTTCCGCGCAAACGGTCTGGAATATTTCCAAACTCCCAGATTAAGCTATGATTCTTCAAGGGCGACCAAACATATACAAGAAAAAGTTACCATACAAAATGTTTGTAATTTTTATAATTTAAATAAATAGCTAGGATTTCTTGCTATCTTGATAATGCGTGTATTAAGCAGCTCAACACCAAGAACAACAAGCAACATCATGGAAATGTTTGAAAAGAGCATGCTACAGAAGAGATGACCCTACTACTTTGGCACCCTGTGCGTAAAATATAACTAACTTCACAGATTTTGCTCTTCACGGATAGAATTCAAAGAGCATGAACTTATTATCTATACGGAAAGTCGGAAACCCCCCCCCCCCCAAAATAAAAATAAAAATAAAAGAGTGGCCCCACACAAGGGAGAAAAAACAACGTTTGCTGACTGGGGTTTTTAATTCTAACAACAGTACCCACAGGAAGGGGTTTGAAAGAGAAGGAAACAACTTAGAAGCAGTGCGTAAAAAATAATAACAAGAAATGTATTACCATCATTTTTCTGGGCAGGGGCTTGAACATGTCCAGCAGCAGCAGATGAAGGTGCTTTATCTAACAACACCTGAAACAAGTGCTAATAATATCAGAAACTAACAACACTTGCTTGGGAGATAACAGTAAAAATTACTTGCTCCCACAATCCAGCCCGCAACTCACCCCTTCTCTTTGTTCCTAGCAGCTCTTACAAGCAAGAAACCATTGCGTCATTTTGGTTCCTTAATTATTTTCCCATCACCAGAATTTTTTATTGGTATTCACAATCAATAATTAGACCCGATATAGGATGCTATTAAGGTCAGTCAAACTGTTTGTTGACATTTGAAAATGCTGTCCCGTAAGGAGTAGCTGAGAAAACACATTTTGGAATCAACAAAAAGTACAAACAATTGCAAAGCTACATCTCTCATTTTCTCTGCAGCCAAATTTGTCAATACCAACCAATTTTGTTCACTTTCTGAATATTTAGAACATAATATTCACCCCCTCAATTTTTCATTTATTCTACAGGACCTAACAGATTTACTGTCTGGCTCCTCCAATAAATTGATGATAGTCACATTGCATTATTCGATTTCATGTAATGTTACAAAAAACCTTCAGCACAAAACGAACCTTGTTTGCATCTACATAAAATAAGATGGCGAAGGTTCAGATATAAAACCTCCAGACCAAGGCAAAAGGGCAATATTGCTGTTTTGTCCTGGGGGTCAGCTGAAGAACTTTTGTTGTCTATGTAGACAGAGTGTCCAACACACGCATACTTGAAATCAGTAAGATTGCGGCCCTTTTTTGTTGCTTCCAACTCAGTTTCTCCCACGACAGAGGAGGGTACTGGTTATATCCATAAGAACATCAGAACAAAACTTCAACAATTCTAAAACAAGTAATGATTAAAGCTACTAAAATTCATACCAAAAAACAAGAAATATAATACCAAGGAAAGGCCCTATCAATAGATAATAGAAGCAAGGCCAATTTTTCACATCTGATCTTTCTATTTAAGTTACTTGCGAGGCAACCAGTTAACTGTTATCTTACACTATCAAATAAAACAGTCATATTCAACAAGGAGTCCAAAAGGCCAGGAAGCATAGGATGCATTTATTTTGCAGGGATCATACGTATCAAAAAGTCATCACAATCACACATCCCTGAGTCTAAAGCTACCTTTCAATTTCGACTACAGTATCAAAGACACAAAATTAATCCTCAAAGACATGCCAAAAAAAAAAAGATTAAAAAAATAAAGACTGGAAGACTATATATCATTGCAAACTTTCTTAAACCAACAATTAATGAATCCTTCTAGAAGCAGTCCCATCGAGAATCATAATGTCAGCTTCAGATTGAAATCAGGTCCCAATATTCACCAAAAAATAAGGTAAACAGGGATTGAAATGTTCATTCATCATCGCAAACTACAACACTGTAAAACTACATTGCCGTAGCTTAGGACCTTATCAAAACTTTGATATGAATATTAACATGCATTCAAAACCATGTAAGATAAAAAATAGGAACGAGTGAAGGCGCTAATTTTATTTTGTTTGTATTTTCTGGCCGAATGTTGATTTTAGGGGTGGAAAAAAAAAAAAGCATCATAACAAGTGAATAACAGAGCTCAAAACTTCATCCCATCGACAAAGAAATAGGTATACAATTTCATTTCCCTCCATTTTCCGTATTCAACTCAGCCTTTCAGACAAAATACAGACCAAAAAATGGCCAAGAAGAAAAAAGGCCTTCTCAAGCCCACAAGAGTATTGAATTGTTTTTTGGCCAAAATTTCTGGGACAATAGTTAAGAAAAATTTTCCACACCTTCCTTGAAACACTCCAAACTTTCAGAAAAGAAATTTAAAGCGCCATAAAGTATAAAGAAACATTCCTTGAAATGCACTGAAAATCAACGAAATACGCAAATACATTAACACGGAACTAAAACTTGCCAAAACATTTAATTCACAACTTTTTTTCAGGATATATATATATACAAGTTCCGTCTTACAAACCGAAGCCTTTGTGTTAATTCCTAAATATCCAAATATATTAGAAGAAACCCTACCGCACATTAAAGAAAGTAAATAAATTGTTAAGATCGTAATTTGATACGATTCCGTTCCTCAACCTTTGTTCAGAAAGAGCAACATAATATAAACAATAGGAAAGCTTGAAACTTCTGCCTATCATCAAAGAAACGTGAATACAATTTCATTTCATTTTCTGAGGCACACTATGTATCGAGCTTCCAAGAAAATAGAAAACTAACACACGATTAAAAGTACCGAGCACAGACGGAAAACCTTGCTGAAGCGTTCTGGAGAAGCCAACGCATGTGGGATTCTTGGATTTAGATTTCTGAACTGATGAGTAATACAGGCATCCTTTACAAGATTTTCCCTTGAATCCTCTGGTTTGAGGAGAGCTAGGGTTACGATTAGGAAAAGCATCTTGAGTTTGGCCTCCCCCCGCTTTGTCTCTATTGTTCACCTCCATCAATTAGGCACGAACTTGCTTTCCAGCAAAACAGCTTCCATATATTTGCAGTATTTTCCTCTTCTTCTTTTTTTTGGGTCTGGGGTTTGGGCCTTTGGGGATCGATATATACCTTCAGTGCTGTTTTTGGCGGTTTCCCATCTAAAACCGTAAAACGCAAACGTTGAAGACATGACGCAGGCCGAATAGAAACAAGGATTGGACCAAGAAGAAGAAAAGGGAATTTTTTTTTGGTACAGGAGAAAAGGAACTATGATTCTCAAGTTTTGCTCGGAGGACCAAAAACCTTTATTTGCTTGCAGCTCAAATATCCAATAAAAAGCCATAAAAATTTTTTTAGTAAATAGTAGGCATAATCCACAGCTGGCAATTCAAATTCAAAAAAGTAATTAGCATGAGTGGAAAGGATTTGATTCATTTCAAGTAAGATTGAAAGTTCTTTTTTTTTTTGGGGAGTAATTTTGAAAGTTTGATTTTGTCAATGAGAAAATTACATTAGAAGGATCACCCCCAGATAAATCCAATGTCTGAATATGAGATTATAGTATCAAATACCTATAGTTACAACACACCGTGTAAATGTAGCAAACATCCAAAGCTAATTCCTATTGCGTATGTATTTTCCGATTTATTTATATCTCTGTGGCAATGTGTATATAAATTGTCTATAAATCTTTATAAAAATTTGGTTATAAACTTATCACCTGAATTCTATTCAGGTAAACGAGCGGTGATATAAATTCAAAGATTTCAGGGGGAACAGAGGATTTTTCTACAGATTGGATGAGTTAATTATTATAACATCAGGTTTTTATTTTTTATTTGACTATCAACTTTCTCTGGGCCTGTTACGTGACTCTTAAATACATCGGGTAAATTCATTCTCAAATTCATTATGTTCAGATTCTTCTTTACGAATAACTCTCACCAGTTATGCAACAGATTCAATCCATGGTTAAAAGAAAATTAAAGTTGATGATGATGAGCACGCCCATACATACAACTCCACAAAACAAAAACAAAAACAAAAACAATAAAGACTCAAGAGTGCCAACAAATCCCATGCGAAAAGGCCTAAGCAAATTCAATCCCCAAGGACGTTCGTCTTACTGTTACGGGTGACCTAAAGGCAATATACCCTAAAATTTCGCTTCCACATATAAGAAACTTCAACATCTCTTGAAAGCTCCACCCCATTCAATGACTCAGCCTTTTCATATTTCATCTATCGATTAATTATTGGGAAAAAAAGAACATCCCTACAGTCCCAATTGTCGTTATAATTCTACGTAAGCCAACCAACTTTCACCACCAACCAAATTCAGACATCTCAGAAAAATAGAAAATCACATGAAAGGCAATTATTAAATTAAATAAAACAAAAATTACATGAGATGCTACAATGCACAGGTTCTACATGTCCGAAGAATCCTTGTACAATGTTGAGCCATGTAAGGGGAATATACTGTACAGGAAGAAATGACATTCTATGTAAGTCCTACGACTCAGGTGTGAAGATAGTCACAAAAAGCTCCTTTCTTGCAGTGTCCACTCTCGTGGAATTTGCACACTCCTCTCTGCCCCACACCAAAAGGAGGCCCTGAAGAACTTCCTCCCCGGCCAGCACCACCAAACGAAGACTGCCTGTTCCATGTTTTATCTCCTCCATAACCTGATTCACCCCCATGAGGACCGCGATCCCTATTGTTTGGGAACCTGTCTCCGTTATGATTTTGTTCATTTCCCCACATGCCCTGGCCCCCAGCCGGCGCAACCCAACCAGGATTAGCACCAACAGGTGCCGCACCTTGACCAGGCACAACCCAACCTCCATTGGCATTAGGATGGCCTTGACCAGGTGCAACCCAACCAGTAGGGATTACTGAAGATGGTCCCTGACTAGGAGCAGCCCATCCTGGATTTGCGTTTCCTGGTGCTGGACCCTGGCCAGGCATCCAATTCATGTTCATATTGGCAGCTGGAGGTCCACCCCAATTTAGATTTGGATTTCCAGGCATTACCCCCCAACTAGTATTTTGATTTTCTGCAACAGTCATGCCCCAAGGCATGCTGGGTGGCAGAGAAGCAGGAGTGTTAGGTTGATTACTTGAAGTTGGTGGTCTCAAGTCTTGAATGCCTGGCATGTGGAAATTCCCCATTGGATTTCCAGTGTTAAATGATGCAGCATTCGGCATAGATGAAGCATCGGCCCAATGGCCATGAGGCAGCGGTGGTTGGGCAGGCATAGCAGCAAGATTATTTGATTCTACCCTTGAATGGACACCTCCCCAAGCCTGTGGTTCACCCCCTCGTATCTGAATTGAACCAGCCATTTCAGGCTTCTGAACTAAACCAGATCCCCAACCTTGAGCTTCAGCATGAGAATTATGGTCGCTTACAGCCAGGTTTTGCATACTTGCAGTTTTACCGTCAGCACCCATATGTCTTGAGGCATCGGCTGTAAGAGCTGCTACCATTGTTGCTTGAGGATGACCAAGAGGAACACCAGGATTTGGGGCTGGAATCCTAGCAAGTTGTGAACTTGAAAGACTTTCAACACTTTGCACCACTTTCTCTGCAGTGACAGGGGTCTGCAAGCTTCCATGACCTCCAGGAAAAGGACTCCCTATAAGAGAACCAGCAGAGTGAACAGGAGTTGGAGACCATTTATTTTCAAAAGCCTGGCCTTTAGTCCCGTAAGATGTGGTCTGAGGAGTAGGTGAAGGAAGATTCATTGATTCAATTCTAACACCAACATCAGGCCCCCGCACATTTGTAGGGACCTTGGGAATCTCAACTGTCATTGGAGAAGGCCTATTTGCCACAGAATTATTATCTTCAAATCTCCAACTTCCTCCAGTAGTTTGGCCTGGAGAACTCATAGCATTATGTGAATTAAGGGACCCACTACTCTGATCAAATGTTGATCTTCCTCCGACTTGAGCATCTACACCTTGTTGTGCAGGCAAATGAAGCTTCCCAGTGTTTGAGGCTGCATAATTCAAATTATGCACCAACTGAGCCTTTGGAAAAGTTTTATCCACTGCTGACGGCTCGTTAGAAAACCTTCCAGCTAAAGCATCAGTTAAGAGTATAGACTCATCTTCTTTCTCAGTGGTTCTCCAAATTCTCAAATCAGCAGGAAAATATCCAGTATTATTCCATTTACGTAACTGTGCCATTGAAAATGGTCCCTGAACTTTTCCAGATGGATCCTTATAATGCCACATCTTTTCTGTTTCATTAACTTTCACAGCAGGTGATGCTATGCCAGTAGTAGATGTTACGGCAGAAGCATTAGCCGCAGCGGCAGAAAGAGAATCAGATGCTGCCACAGGCTGTATACTTTTGCCACTACTTTCTAAGCTTGAATATAGTTTTTGACCCTCCCAGCTGTTAGATAGTTGTGCTTCCCTATCTCTTCCCCGGAGCATTTGAACATCGTTCAATACCTCAGAAGCATTAGACACATCATCAACTTTAACTGAAAGTCCCTTATTAGACAAATTCCTGGTTAGCTCACGATTAATGTTAGAATAGTTCCTTGCTCCACTCCATGGATCATTTGAATTAGAACCACCTGTCCTTGGAGAAACCATCTCCCTCCCCCTTCGATCAAATGCAGTTCCTCTAGGTCTCATGTAACTCTCTGTAGGCACATAAACCAAATAAATAACAGTGTAAATTTTGGAGAAGAGGAAACACTTCATATGTCAAGGACCAATTCAATTCAAATGCTTAAGTCGTTAAGTGGAAGTCTATTATAGCCTCAAACAGGCCACCTTACACAAAAGTCCTTTGAACATAAAGTGTAGATAAGGCGCAGGCATGCCATGCCTTGTAATGAAATTAAAAGTAATTATGATAATAGAAGGCAGCAAGAATGAAACTCCTTACCACTTGGGCACAGAGGTTTCAATAATAACTCTAGATCATTTGAACCCAAGCCGGAGTTGTTAACTAAAGGATCATTATCATCTCAAATAATAAATAATTTATTGAATTTGCAAGTACCTAGTCGTTTAGGATCAGTTTCTTCTTCCTCCTCAGACTCATAACTTGGATCCATGTTTGGGTCTGCATGTATTTCTGGAATTTCCTCCAATCTCCGCTGACGTTCCTCAGGTGTTTTCAAAAGCTGCAGTTTCTCTACACATTCTCTAAGCGTAAGATTAAGTCAAGGATTATCCCAAAGTAACACTTATTTTTTATCAAAAAATTATTACATAAATAAATACTTCAATTACCATATAAAATAACTTGACAAAACAAGATAATTATTATCAGCAAAATAATCAATATTATCGAACATATAGCATATCACATTATTCCTCAGTCATGAAATGTGCAACTCACTTTAGACTTTGTGTAATACACGAGAAAACATGTTTAGCATCAAAATGAAAACTATCAATCTCTTGTTAAAATTTATGTCAGATATCATGACAAGGAACAATTTTTTTTATTAAAAAAAAAAACGCTGTTATTTGTAAAGAACTTATTAAGTGTCGCTGTAGAGAACTATATTGTTGGATAGATTATGAAACATTTCCAAGCCACAAAGAATTTAAACCACCTCAACCATCTCTTCTGTTTAACTCAATAATCATTAATGAGCTCAAGGAACATTTTAAACTCAGCTAGATCAACCTTAATATATAGTTTTGTCAACTTCACCAGAAAATAAGGAACACAAACAACCACCGCGGATTTAACATATTATGATTGACGTTTCATAAATTCTAAAAACTTCAAAACATGCAAGAAGTGAAGTTTACAAAACTGACTCCACTGAAGACAAGTGAAAGTTAAACTACAAAGATTTCCTTCCTCCAGGTAGCAAGTTGGCAATAAATTGAAACAAACAACTCAGAATCCACATATTTCTGTCAATGTGAACGGGTAACGTCATACCTAAACAATGCAAATGATTCCAAACATTAACTTGGAGGATGAAATTGAATATCTTTGGAAATTATTTTCATGCACTGAATAAACAGAAAGCTGATAACTACCAGCACAACAATAGATATATTATACTTGAAAAATAAACAAGTTAACAACAGAAGGATATTCTTTTCTCC